TGTAACAAGAAAAGATCTTGACCAAGCAAACAATAGTACTGATTTGGGTTCATCTCATAATCCGTTTGAACCATCAGCTGGGCATAACACTCATCCTTTTCCAAATGGAAGACAACCATCAGCCAAAGACGATGCCACTGACGATAAATCCCCAACCCCTAAGAAACTTTCAGGAACTCCTCCAGCAAAAGGACCCACACATCCCGGANTCCTCCAGCAAAAGGACCCACACATCCCGGCAGTATTTTTGATCTTGGAGAGGAAGGTAATGCAATTGAAGAGAAGAATTAATTCTCCTTAATACACAATATTTTCTATCTTTATGGAGAAATTTTTCTGTTTTTGTGTTTGTTGCTCAGCTTTCTCTTTTAGCCAGTTTCTACTTTTGAACACCTTTGTTTGTGTTTACCATGTCCAAGGCCAGTAGTTCTACATGTACTCCTGTACTTCTCGAAAGTACAGTGAGCAGAAAACTTTTCCTTGTATCTCTTTTCTTTCCACTTATCATTGGGAAACTGCAAATTTTGCAGGTGGCTTCATTCCTGGGGCAATGCCATCAAAGAAACCACCAAGTGAAATTAAAGAGAATAAAGGTGATAGTGCATCAGATTTTTCGTATCCACTATGTTTATCTTTTCATCTAGTAGTCGCCCTAATCGGCCAGGGGCGGACGTGATCATATCTTACACCAGTATTTCATGAAAAAGCTTTTCAGCATCTTAGCTGTATTTGAGTGGAATCGAAAATGTTCCAAGTTTTTTCCTATTGCAAAGTATTAGAGCTTAGGTGTTAATGAAATGTTAAAAGTTTGTAGGGAAATATGTTTTGATAAGTGGCTATATAATGCAGGAGATGATTGGCGAATTCCAATGGATGACCCAGGAGCTTCATCATCAACAGCGGATTCCGGCAGTACACAAAGACCATTACCTCCAGTTGAAGTTAAAAAAACCAAATCACTGGAGATTGTAAAATGCATAGTATATGGAGGTTTAATAGAGTCAATTACAAGCTTGGGTGTGATTTCCTCTGCAGCTGCTTCCGATGTTGACACAAGTAATTGAGACCTTTTTTCTAAGTTTAACTTTTCAATCTTCATTATCTTGGTTGGTTACTCCAATTGTAATCTAGGAGCTCTTTGTGAGAGTAA